TTCCTGGAGCTCACTTGGTAGCCCAGGCTGGCCTCGAACTCACAGAGATCCGCCTGGCTCTGCCTCCCGAGTGCTGGGATTAAAGGCGTGCGCCACCACGCCCGGCTTTTTTTTTTTTTTGATGTTTTCCTTTTTAAGAGTTGCCATGGGGCTGGAGAGATGGCTCAGAGGTTAAGAGCACTGGCTATTCTTCCAGAGGTCCTGAGTTCAATTCCCAGCAACCACATAGTGGCTCACAGCCACCTATAATGAGATCTGAGGCCCTCTTTTGGCCTGCACACAAACAAACAGGCAGAATACTATATATATATCATTTAAAAAAAAAAAAAAAAAGAGTTGCCATAGTCATGGAGACTCTTCACAGCAATAGAAACCCTAACTAAGACACGCGTACTCAAGAATCTTATTTGAACAGGGAAAAACTGATTCTAATATAAATAACAATAACAGAGTGTGAGTATGCAGAGAGCTGTGGGAGCCCAGAAAATGGGTCACCTAACACATGGAGGCAAAGAAAAGGGGACCAAGGTTTCAAGAATGGAGCTTAAGTGTCTAAATCTTTTTTAAGCTGCCTAAATAATTATTATGGGGAGTGGGGGAGATACTAGCGTGCACATGGAAGTCAGAAAGCATCTAAAGGCTGAGCTGTCACCTGGGGCCATGGTGACACCTGGGCCCAGTCTGCTGATGAGGACCACGTCTAGGTCGGTGGTCCTACCACAACCAGGGTCTGTGTTGATGTCTGTGGCCGATGGATCCCTGGGGGCCTAGGCCATAACCCATGGCCATGTTGGCACTCAAGGCCATGCTGTCACCAGGGCCCATGATCTTGTCCAGGCCAGGGTCTGTCTTGATGTCCATGGCTCCTGATATTGTCGAAAGCCATGCTGATGCCAGGGGTCTGGGCCGGCACCTGGGGCCATGGTGACAGATGAGGACTGTATCTGGGTCTGTGGTCCAACCATAACCAGGGTCTGTGGGTCCTACCACAATCAAGATTCATGGCCTGTGGTGCCATGGTTCTAGGCTGCATCCTGTGGCATGCTGGCGTCTTAGGGCCATGCAGGCACTAGGGCTGTGCTGATCTGGGTGGCCTGTACTGCTACATGGAGCCATGGTGTTGTCCGGGCCCAGACTGCTGCCTAGGGCCATCCATGTCTGGGCCCATGGCCCAGCAGCAATCAGGGTCTGTGCTGATGTCCCTGGCTCCTGTTACCAATGAGGGCTGTGTAGATGTCTAGGGCGTGTTGACATCTTAGGGCCATGCTGAGTTGATCCCACCCCTCACTGGCCCTGTCCCTTGCTGGGCACTACAGCAGGAGAGCCCACCCCAAGCCCCAGCACTTAAAGACAGATGGCCCTCACCCTGAATGTGGGAGAACTAGCTCTGCCCCTCACCTGAGGGCCTCAGTACCAGTGGGCCAGCTCAGCTACCACCCAGACCCACATCTTGGGCCTTGGGTTGGCCCACCATAACATCTACCCCATCTATGACCTCCTGGAGTGTGGTGTAAAGGGACTAGTCCTGGAGAACAATAGCCACAGGATCTCCATGAGTCAGGGCAACAGCAGGATATCCAAGAGGAGTTTCAGTGAGAGTGCAGTGATGAGGGTATGCCAGAGGCCTTGAACCAGACCAATAAGTCACAGCAATGAACATTTTGTGGGTGAAGCTGATTGGACAAAAGGGTATACTGTGTGACACACCACAGCACCCAATGCCACTAGGATGAATGAAGAGGTGTTCCAAAGATTGAGGAGCAATGTGGGTTTTCGTTTGGTTTTGTTTTGGTTTTGTTTTTAATTAATTTTTTGGGGGGATATTGCAGGGGTAAGGGGAGGATACAGAGGGATTGGGAGGTAAGCAGGATTGGGATACATGATATGAAATTCCCAATCAAACAATTATGTCATAAAAAAAGCCAACATTAACATCAATAGTAACATCACAAATGAGGACAAAAAACAGACCATAAATTACCCAGACATAAATTCCACAAGAGAAATACAATATTAGGGGAAAAAATACAAAATTATGAGAAAGATTTAAAAATCTCAGTGGAGAGCTACATCATGTTTTGTTTTTATTTTTTAAACTTATTTTATGTGTCTGGATGTTTTGTATATCTGTGAATCACATGTATACTTGATACTCTTGTAGAAGCAAAGAGCATCAGATCTCCTGGAACTAGCGTTATAGATGATTGAGCCACCATGTGAGTGCTGGGTTCTCTCAATTCAATTTGGGTTCTCTGAAAAAGCAGCCACGTGTTCTCAACTGCTGAGGCATCGCTCCAGCCTCAACACCATATTTAAGAAAGTTCAGTATTGAAAAAAATGTCAATTCTCCCCCCAAAGGATACTCGAATTACAATGCAAAAGTCAACATATTTTAGTTATTTTAAAGATTTATTTTATATGAATGAATGTTTTGCCTTCATGTACATATGTGAACCACATGCATGCATGGTGTCCAAAGAGACCAGAAGAGGATACCAAATCCTCTGGAACTTGAGTTAGGAGATGGTTGTGAGTTACCATGTGAGTGCTGGGGTCCTTTACATGTGAGTGCTGGGGTCCTTTACAAGTAGACTTAACCTCTGAGCCATGTCTCCAGCTCTACACAGACAGCCACACACACACACCCCTCTCCCTCTCTCCTACATAGAAAAGCAAAGGGCCTCAAACATCAAAGGTATTTTTCAGAAACAGGACAAGGACAAATACTCTTGTAAGACAGGGTCTCACTATATAGCTCTGGGTTGCATGGAACAGACTATGCAGAGCAGGCTGGTATTGAATTCAGAGATCCATCAGCCTCTGCTGGTAGTAAAGGACACTGACATCCTTCTCCAGGGTCTAGCTAGGAAAGTGCACCCCTCATCAGGGAAACTTCTCTTTGCAACAGATAGAGATCTGTTGAAAACCACAATGAATGAAAATGCAGTTGTGCAGCCCAGTCCCAATGGATATATCTACAACATAACTCGTACAACCAAGGCTCAGGGATCACTTCAGAAGAGGCAGGATTCTACCAGAGAAAGACAGTTTGCTGTTAAGACCGTGTCTAGGAAAAGTCAGAAGCTACAGCATAAAGTATCATCAACCTGACTGCCCAAACATGACTTGAACAAACACAACACTAAAAGACTAGCTAAAATGGAGAGGGAAAGCTCAGCAGGCCTCAACCCTAGACAAAGGACTACAAGCTATTAAGAAATTGCCAGGCGGTGGTGGCGCACGCCTTTAATCCCAGCACTCGGGAGGCAGAGCTAGGCGGATCTCTGTGAGTTCGAGGCCAGCCTGGGCTACCAAGTGAGTTCCAGGAAAGGCGCAAAGCTACACAGAGAAACCCTGTCTCAAAAAACCAAAAAAGAAAAAGAAATAGTCTTCCCCAGGGAAGAGCATACCCAATGGTTACCAAATGGTTAGCTCTGAAA